AGGTGTCGGTTCCCCAACTAGCACTTATCGTGATTGTATTGCAAGGCTTCAATCACAAAGGAGATCATAATCCCGCGTTGGTTACTTGCTAGCTCCAACCGTGATTGTATCGTGATATCAGGTCACGCATTAAGTCTCCTGTCCGTTGCGATCCTCACGTGGCCTTCTCAGCAAGCTCTAATCATGAGTGTATCACGAGTACAAAGCGAGAGGAGGAGAAAAATGGGAGTTTTGGGTCTCTATACGTCGTGGAAATTTCATATCAATGTATGTTGTGAATAGCATTCCCGATCCCAATTCCTAGATGTAACTGTATCGTGAGATTCAATCACGACGGTCTGTAGGCCTCGATTCTGATAGCCCGTCAACTTGTATGTTGTGATTCGAATGGTAGGCTTGGCAAAATCAAATGCTTTGATATCATTTATTAGGATTCTTGACAGAAATTGAGACATAAATATTTTATTGCAAGAATATCAAACAACTCAATGCGAATAAATAAGATAAGCACCTATAATTCGAGAGGTAATCGATCTCTCCCAATTTCTACAATTCAAATGGTAGAAAATAATCCCAAACTCTAACCCTAAGACTCAAGACCCAATCTTATGCATAACCCTAAACCAAAACTATTAGCCCTTATACCAAACAAAAATTAATAATAAAAGACTAATTGCCCTTTGGTTAATAAAAGAAAAAATTTCTTAGGGCTATACATCGGCTTACCAATTTGTTACAAACCTACATAGATATTAGAGAAAATCAAATATTTTATTTCACAAATCTCAAATCAAAGCAATACAACCACCACACTCATACGAATGCATAAATGATAAGCACCTACAATTTGATAGTCATGCAATCTCTCCCAAATCCTATAATTCGAGAGGTGGGAAATCTCTCCCAGGCCCTAACCCTAAGACTCATAACCAAAATCTCATGGATGCGTTAACTGACGTAGGTACTAACAACACACTAAAACGAGCACTAAAATAGCGCCACCAGTCGTTGAATGCGCCCCGATACGAGGTGCTTTGATCCCGCGGGATCGAAGGTCCGCGAACTCTCATGGGAACAGTAGGGCAAGCGAGACTCGCAATCCCTCGCGAAGGCGGGAGGCAGGGATAACAAAATTTCGTGATCCGTGGCGATGCAGTGCGACATAGGGAAGCTTCGCAGTGTCTTTTGGATTCCTCTTGCCTTTCCCTCCTTTTCCTTTTGTGTAGAAGTTTCCTAGGATTATATAAATTGTTGTCCTATGTGTGTGGGGAGTCAGATTTGATGTTGTTTGTTCTAAAATTCCTTTGTGGAATTCTTTCCCCTTAGTAGGTTGTATCCAAAAACGTAGTGGTGCTTCAGTTGTATCCTCTCCAAGGTGATGATTGTATCCTCCCTTTCTGCCCTTCCCAAACCCTCTCCTCTCCTCTATTCAATTGCTGAACTCTCTACATGTCATCCCAACACCCAGCCATTCCCTTTCCGACAAATTATTATTGTTGTCTGCCTACCTAACTCCTTTCAAGCTCCTCTAATTACCCACTACCATTGTCTCCCACCTACAACCTTTCTTGCTTGTTGTCCCTATAGTTTTGCACCTTCCATTCGCTATCACCAGCCTTCCGTGACTGTTATCATCCCTCCCCATCATCTTGATCCCTCTCGTCGACCTCCACCACCCATCCGGGTACATCTAGGAGTTTTTATTGGTGTCGTTTTATGTTTTGTGTTGTCATTTCCATTCGAGTCATGTTGTAACCCTACTTTAATATTACTAAAAGTTTTTTTTTTTTTGTTTCTACTGTTTTCCCTACTAGCTCTGGTGTCATTTGGTATCAAAACTAGCTCAACTCTAGTCTCGTTCTAAGATCTCCTAGCATTCGCTCTTACCCAAGCCACCTTCACCAAATTTTTTTTCCCATCGATTCACAACCCTAGCCATGTCACCGCAAAGAGGTACATCGAACTCGATCCGAGAAGAGAATCAACGAGAAATTCGTCATCTAAAATGGAGACTGGCAGATCAGAATGACGAAAACCATGAAGAGATTACCTTCGATCGTGATTGAGAAAGTCGCGGGGAAAACAGGGACAAAGAGATGAATCTGTTCCACAGGGAAGATCATAGTGACGAAGAATATTGATCATGTTGTTTTGGTATTCAGCATCAAAGGAGACCGAGAGGAGAGGTCCCTTATGGAGGTCAGTGGGACTTTGAATCAAGAAGGACCTCCAAAAATTTGAAGATCCTAATGATTTTGTCGACTAACTGCAATTAGTTGAACAAATTTTTGAATATAAAGATGTACAAAGAACAAACGAGCCAAGCTAGCTGCCATTAAATTAAAGAAAAATGACTCCTTATGGTAGGAAAATCTATAAAATTAGAGGAAAAGAGAAGACAACGAGAAGATGACTATGTGGGAGGAGATGAAAAAAGAAATGCAAAAAAAAATACCTCCCACCCACTGCCATTAGGATATGTTTATGAAACTCCATAGCTAATAGCAGAAGGATCTTTCAGTTGAGGAGTTCACATCCCAATTCGACCACTTGTAGCTGAAATGCGAACTGACGGGGCCAGAGAACGTACGATAGCCAGATATCTCGAGGATCTGAAACCCACCATCAACAATATGGTACAGTTGCAATCATACTGAACACAGGGGATGTTCATACATTAGCTTTGAATGTGGAAAGACAACATAAGTAGAGCCGGAACAATCATCTTTCAGGAAGCAACCTTCGAGTAGGCTATCACCTACAATTACAACGGCTGACAGGGATATCCTGGGAGACATTGGCAAGCCCGGACAGGGGAATGACACTACGGATCAAAGCGGGAAAAAACGGGAGAAGGGCAACTCTTCTAACACGGTGTCCGCTAGGAAGTGCTACTGATGCCACGGTTACGACCTTATTGCCTCCAGTTGCCTAACGAATAGGATAATCACACTCACAGATCAAGGCGCCGTAAATGAAATAAGCGAAAAGGAGAATGCTGAGGAACAGGGTGAGTTGTATAAATTGCCACCAGACGAAGGAGACTCGTAACTAGACGAATCCTATAAACTGAGAACACGAGGGATCCACAGTGGCTTCACCACAACATATTCTACACCTATTTCACATTGAACGAAAAAGTATGCAATTAAATCATCGACGACGGAAGCAACAAGAACTTGGTATCGACACAGATAGTAGAGAGATTGGGACTTGCGACTCAGAGACATTCCTGACCATATTCACTGATGTGGTTGAAGAAAGAATCAAGTCAGCATCGACCAAAGATGCTTGGCAGAATTTTCGATGGGAGGACAGCTACAGGATCATATATGACGTGATGTTCCCATGGATGTCTGTCACCTTTTAATGGGACGACTATGGCAGTTTGACCGGAGAATTCAGCACGACGGATATAGAAACATGTATTCTTTCACTGAGGCCGGGAAGCGCAACAGCCTCCTTCCTTTGTTGGAGCCCGAGGACATAGGATCCCTTGTCAGCAGAGCAGCATCAAGGGAACCAGAATTCATGGCAACACATAATGAGTGGACAGTGATACTGGCTCCTAACATGGGACAAACACGACAAAGAATATTTCAGGGTGATCTTGTAGTCAATACCGTATCACTCATTCCACTATAGGCCAGGAGTTCAGGCCACTCTCAAGACACACAATACTGAACCGTTTGTGAGATACTTTGGAAAAACTCAACAGTACGTGCATGGCAAAAAGTCAAAAAATATGGCATGGATGTGGATGTTTCAACGTACTTGTGAGGAGACCCTCAGACACTTTGAGAGTGCAGTCGCCAGTGGAATCCTGGGGTGACTGAAGACGAAACGGAAGCTTCGATCTATGAAGTTGAAGTTTTCCCTAACCCCGTGAGACTGACGCGAGAGCTAATAGCACCCAAATACGAGCACTAAAACAGCGCCCTCGGGCGCTGAATGCACTTACGATCCCATGGGACCGAAATCCTGTGAACTCTAGCGAAAACAGTGGGGCGGTCGAGACCCGCGATCCGTCGCGAAGGCTGGAGGGAGAGATCCCAAAATTTGGTGATCCATGGGGATGCAGTGCGATCCAAGGAAGCTTTGCGGTGCTTTCTGGGTTCCTCTTGCATTTCCCTCCTTTTCCTTGTGTAGAAGTTCATAGAGAAAGAATCTCAATATGTTGCCAACAAGTAGTAAAATGACATGGCATCAAAAAATCTCTTCACGGTCCCCATATATACTAAAATATATCAAAATAATGATAACTGGTAATTGGATTGTCGACACATAGATCGTGAATAGTTAAAGTTGCAATTTTGATGGTTGAAATCATTGATCGGCTTGATGAAATCTCCAACTTGCTAAGTGATGTTGTCGTTTGGCAAAGTGAAGTCACCGATTTATTGAGTAAAATGTGGATCGTGCAGCTTTATGCATATAGCTTTGTGTGAGTCGCCTTTGTGTTTGGGTCAGTAGAAATTGGGCCGAGTATGTTCTTAGTGAGTTTCCTCATGATCCTGGCAAGTTCGATATCACACACCTTCTTTCTTAGTTGAGTTGACTTGAATAGAATTGCTGCTTGAACCATACCTTCAGATATTTGGTACACAAGTACTTTTTTTTATAAGGTGAGAAGGACTTTGGAAGGAATTTGATAACAACAGAGGGTACAATTTCATCGAAATCCAATGTGACTTCAAATAACTTTACAAATGGAAGCATTCATTATGGTTTAAATAAGGAAATCCAAACGTATAATAAAATGAAACAAAGCAAGAAGTATCCAACATCATAAATACTAGTTACCAAAAAGAAAAGATAATTGGTAAATAGCATGATTTTATGCTTAAAAAGATTGTGCGCTAGTCTTTCAATAGCTTGGTTATATAGTCTAAGCAGCCCTTGCAAAAAATGCAAACATAAAAATGCCAGCAACTTTCACAATAAATTTTGCAGCTCCTTTCCTATCATTCAACCAATAAAACAGGAAGAAAATAACTTACTTTCACAGTTCACACGCAAAAACTCAGATCCTGCAAAGAATCACTGCCAACTCTTCATCACTAATGCTCACTTCCTTACACACACCTGCAGCTTCCGCTAGCTTAAATGCTATTTGGTGTTTACACTAAAATATTCAAAGGAAACCAATTTCCCGTTATGTCGAGTAAACCATAAAGGGTTGTCTGGGAAAGGATTTAGAGCGGGATTTAGGATTTAAGCTAAATCTTGTCAAACAGTCATTTTGGATGAGCTAAATCTTGTCAAACAGTCATTTTGGACAAGCTGAAGGCACAGATTTTATAAATCCAAATTTTAGGGATTTCGTTCATAAATCCCGTAAATCCTAAATCCCATGAATCGGTGGATTTTCGAGATTTGCAGCGAGAGCGATTGGGATCGCGGTGGATTTACATAGATGATTTTAATGGATTTGCGGGATTTAGAGGATTTCGTTGAAGACGGTTTTTCATTCAGGTTTTAGTTAATCCGGTTTCACATGATTTACTAAATCCTAATAACTTAAAATAAATCCATTACCAGACAGCCCCTAAAAGAGAACAAAGTATTGATGGAAAAGATAACAACAGATAAGAGCATACATAGAGCTGCTCGCCTTTGCTGACAACGTCAAAGAAGAAGGATTGACAAGTGCAAAATTGTTCCGGAAAACATAAGTACTCCTTCGCCTTAGACTCCCCAACCACCTAAGCCAGAAGAATTTCATTGCAAATATTAATAATAATAAAAGAAAGGGGGATGCAATAAAAGAAAAGGTGAGGGAAATGGTACCAGAAATATGAAACGGCCACTAGGGTTTCCTGAAACCTTCCTGACGCCCCCCTGATCAACGATTACGGTCGCTCTTTCCAAATTCTTTCCAAAAAGAAAATGCAAGCTGCAGAAAGAGGAAGATAGGATAGATCTGAGAATCCAAAATTACTTGGGGAGATAAAGCGTGCTCGAAATGAACTACTTGGATAGATGATCGTCCGAAACTGTTAATAGTTACAAGAAAACAAGGAGTGGTTAGAAACTGTATCAAGAGAAGGAAAACGAGAAGCCAGAAGCGAGAAGCGAAAAGCAAGAGAGAGAACGACCAGAACGAGAGAACTTAATTTGCCGCCATATTGACTCCGCCACAGCAGTGCTCGTAGAAGTAGAAGCAGAAGCAGAAGCAGCAGCCATTGTCCTTTTCGCCGCTACTGCCGTCAAGCGCCACCATGGCAAGCGGGAAACAAAACTAAGGCCGATATGCAGATCACTCCCAAAAATTTTTAGCTGCCTGTAAATAGTTTGCAATATTTTGACAGGTTATCATTGAGAGATATAAGACCCTAATAATTTTGTTTGGGTGTGTGAGTCGTGATCTGTTGGTAGAACAGTCTTTCTGAATGTCGAACTTTCTTCAGGTCAAGGGTTTGAATTTTCTCATGTGTAGAGTGTGGTATTAGAATATTGAGCACACCTAGAGATGATCGGGGCTCGTATAATAGCCTTCGATATATATATATATCCAAAAACG